CTTATAAAAACACGTAAAGGATTACTAGGTGCAATGTCATCGCATTTATCCTTAACACCGTTCAAAACATACGCACACCCATAACTTCCCGTTCAAAACGTCGTCTCATGCCTTCCCGTCAAAAGAGACATTGATCTCCTGGGTCGACTGGAGAGTCGAGCAACTGAATGGGTGATAGTGTTGGAGAACAAACTTTACGAATACAAACTTAAGCAAATTGGATTGATTCCACTGAGTTTTAGAAGCATCGGTGGTGATCTGGTAATGGCACGTTACGAATCACCTCTGTTTGCAGTGTTCTTCCTGTCAAAGTGACCAAAGCCTCCTTAGTGGTTAATTTCAAGAGGAGACTTGTGAATTATCACTTACCGACTGGACCAGCCGTGCCAGATGCATGCCTGTAGTATATATAAACTAATTTATTCACTTATTTAGTTAAGTTCCGAAACCTTCGTCTTCTTCTTTGAATCAGAGTTTTCTTTTTATTCTCCATAATGTAACTGACTTATCTCGGACCTGATATTAGGATAGCCACTGGTATGCAGAAACCTTACTTTCTGAAACAAACGTACTCATTTAAATCATGGAACATACAAATTCATAAATAACTGCCAACTAACTAGGACTAGTACTGTCAAGTGTCTAGAATACCTTCTGCTGTATTCAGATGCCTTGAAAAATGTCTGAAATCGTAGCGAAGGAAAGGGGATCAACCAGCTAGTTTATAGTAGCTCGTAAGAAATATTGGATATTGAATTCGCACTATTTGGGCTCCAAAGACGCGGGTCCTACGTCTGTAGTGCTACTCAAGTTTGAAATGTCTACGAATCCTGGACCTAATGAGTTATTTTCAACATTTTACGAAGAAGTTAAGGCAATAGAGAAGCGGGATTCCGTTTTAACATCGAAACAACAAATTGATCGGCTCAACAGACCTGGATCGACTTATTTTAATTTGAATCCATATGATGTATGATTGGTGTAACATTGTTCAAGCAACTTAGGTTTTACAAGTAGATCCTGACACACCGATGGTTGATATAAAAAAGAAGTACAGACAGGTTTCTGCCTTATTTGCTGATTTATTCCGTTTTAGTTATCCCTGCTTGTTCATCCAGATAAAAACCCAGATGATCTTGAACGATCTCAAAAAGCTTTTGAAGGTATTTTGTGTTTCATTTATTAACAGCTGAGTAGCTGTAAACAAGGCTTACAAAGCCCTTGATGATCCTGAGACTTCTCGCAAGTGTAAAGAAGTTGTGGATGAAGCAAAAGATCTTGTGGAACAAATGGTACTATTTATCATACTACTATCTTTCAATTTTAGATGATTGAAAAACGAAAGCGTGTTAAGAAGACAAGTGGGTGTATAACGATTGAGGAGGATGATCCCGATAAGGTAGCTTATTCATTGTTTCTAATAATTTTAGCGACGCCATGCCATATATGTGCAAACATGCAAGCTGTTCGCAGATCTCGAAAGATTAAGGGTAGAAGAAGAGCTGAAACAATCTGCAGAAAGGTTTGTTTATGGTGAAGTTTATCTCTTTATAACCCACCTTATGCATAATCGTGGTGGCTTCCTTATCTTGCTATCCCATACGACGTACATAACGAATACTATCACATTAAACCTCAGGAAATTCTATGGCCTAATACGACATTTAAAAATTTTTGGTCTCGGTATATGCTCTTTAGATTTTTCTCGACCACATGTGTTTATTTTCAAAATTTCCAAGTAACACACATTAGGCTAAACTGTCGTATAAACTTTCGTGATTTCACATATTTGGAATTTCCCATCTGCTGCTTCGTCAACTTGTGACTCCAGATTCTATTCAACTGTTTGTGCACTTTTTGAAGTCACCCTTGAAACTGATTTCTTCAGTGATTATCTGCTAGCCTTGATATGTCAGTAGCATTCTCATATGTGAACTTGTAGAACACAACTTAGTTGAGTTCTTTTGTATGATTAAATGATTTATTTAATCAAACACCAATCTAATATACACAAAATAGTTTTGTTTGGTAACTATTTTGACAAGATGGAGTCTTCTAAGTATCTTCAGTATGAGTACTTGGGATTCGTCTCGTAAACCAGGTATTTGACCACTAGCTTTTACGGGACATTCCTCGTGTTAGAATCAGCATACCTGTAAAAACAAGATTACTCTGAAGACGGTCAGCCGTTGGTGAGTTTGTAAGCATTTACTGGCTGGTGTGTTTGTAACATGTTATGTACACTGTTTGTCTGTTCAGTTAGTCGATCATAATTAATGTGAAACCTCACAGTAGTATCAGTCGACCTTACCACACTTCAAGACAATGAGATGTAACCAAATCAAGCAGCCAACGAGTTAAACTAACAATAATATCAATAACAGTGGAAAGATTTATTCTTCATTACAGTGGTAGTTTAGAGCAAATTAGACATCATATATTTCTTCCTTTTCAGTCGATCAAGATTTACAGTGTAATGTATTTTAGCTCAAATTCCTAACATGATGGGTCCTAATCTGGATAAATTTTTCGAGTCGGTTTCATTTAGAGGACATTTGAAAATTGCCTATCACTAAGAAGCTCCACACGAAACAAACCCAAACTTCGAACAATAAGTACGTTGTTACTCAACTTATGATTCAGGACTTTATCCCCATCATCCCTTAAAACCTATAGTTGTGAGATACAAAGCGATTGTCAGTTGGTAACATTGATGGGTGTCCGTAGGAATTCCATTATTTCCCCTCACTACAGTTATAATTTGTTCATATCCTACTGTTCCATGCGTATATATATATATATATATATATATATATATATATATATATAACCATAACTCGGCACTTCTCGTATCTTTTCACTTCAGAAAACGTAAGGCTGAAGAGGAAGAGGAAGGAAAGAAACTTATGGCATATGACAAAGAGTGGAAAAAAAATTATGAAGTTAGTCTTTCTTGTATTTCAGTAAAAGTTCCTATAAAGTTTCATCGAAACAAGTTTTCCGCCGTTTCTATTATATCTTCTTTAAAGTTATCGTGTCAATGTGGTCGACGCATGTATGTACCAGGGTTGGTGATTCTTGTTTGTCTGTTTGTACAACCCGTCAGTTAACAATGGTCACCAACCTATTAACTTTCTTAACCAGTATTATATATCTAACATCACTATGTTTTATCTGCATTCAATCATTGCTTCAAAGATACTTATGGTTGAACACTTGTAACCTTAGCATGCACTATTCTCGATCGATTAATTGACTAAATGATAACACAAAGAATGCCTTACGTAATACGAAAATCCGAATGTGGAGAAAAATAGAAAACGGGTAGTCATGTAACAGACTAATAAAAGTATTAAACAGTAAGGCGAGAGATTACGCAAAACTGATGTCATCTAGTTACAAGACAACTCATGCTGTGTATAAGAGATCTAAACAAACTAATAACATTATCCTCATTGGTTTCTGGTTTGAGCCATGTCCATTAACATCTCAAGCACTCAATTTTTAAATAATTTGCCACAACTGCAAACCCTGTTTCATCGATTCGAGGAGCGGGATTTTACCACGACTCGATATAGTCTCAAAGCTGCGCACGTAAGCTAAGCTACTAAGTCGATAAGTTGTGCTACTTATCTATTATTTTATCTCAAGCTAATAAGCTTCGCTTTGCCAATAATTCCAACAGATCGATTGTAAGTTCTGTTGGTCTGACTGAACTGACCATAATCTGTTTTTAACTGTTTGTAACAAAATGACTGAAAGGTAATAAGTATTAAACGTTCTATCCAGTTTTAAGTCTTAACCTCTGACAGCCACAGTATGGTCACCAAGTTAAGTATATGTCAGTCAGCAGCAACATAGAACTTCGTAGGTACGCACATCAGTTCAAGTCTCCATACCACATTAGCACAAAGACTCAATTGTCACTTCAAATCCCATAGTATTATTCAGACTTATTCGGAGAAACCGGTATTAGGAACCCAAATGTGAGACTATTTCGGAAAAAGGATGGTCTCATTATTCATTCTCAATCTAGGAGATCGGATCGATGGGCAGAACACTTTAGGGATCAGTTTAATTGACCTTCAGCCACACTTCGGTTGCCCACGAACTCCAGTCAACCTAAATGGCAAATCGACGCAAGTCGTCTAACTATATGTACCATTCATGTGCTTCGATGATTTCTATATCAAATAAAGGGACATAACTTCCAGTTTTTCTTATACCTTCAAATAAATCTCTTCTTTTTTTTATTTTCAAAGGAAAGTCGTAGTAATCGTGTTGAAAGTTGGCGAGATTTCAAGGCGAAAAAGTCCAAAACATCAAGAGGTATTGGTGGTTTAAAACCACCAAAAACAAAAATGGAACAAAGGCCTGGTTAGTAAAGCGAGATTCTCAATTCGTACGCAATTCTATTTATTCACTTTGAAGGGATAAAATAATGCCATAGTATAACACTACTTGTAAAAAAAGGCAATGATTTTCTTTGCAATTTGATATTTATTGTGTCATCATCACTTGTACGCCATTCTATTTGACCAATTCTCTTACCCTTCTGTGTATATGTATCATTTCAAAAGAAAACAAAGCACTGTGTTCCATAAATCCAAATAGTTTGTTTTTGCACATCATGGTATATATATATAGAAGGCATTCACAAAACAAAACCATATGTAACAGTGATTATAGTAATTAAAAAAATATCAAACATCATCGTTAATATAGGAGTGAGTAGATGTTACTGATCATTGTTAAGTTGTTCGATTGGAGTAGTGTGTGAGAGAGAGAGGTTGGTATACTCGACAGTAAAAATACGTACACACACACACACAATTCGGACAATGCTTGAAGGTGATCATCGATCGATCACCAGACTAATTGACTTCACAAAAAAAGAGGCGATAATCACACCGGTGTGAAAAATGGATGATGACTGGACTGCATATGTGACATACAAAAGCAGAGAAATTAAAACGAACAAACGAAAAAAACAACAAAAACAAAATTCAATTAGCGATTTGAATAGAATTGTAGAAAAAAAAAGAAAAAAAAACAAACGTAAGGAATGGAGAGAAAAAAAAATGCCATACAATCTGATTGTGTTCTGATGTTTGTGTTTTTTTTTTATGAGATAGTAGTGTTATATTATATTATATAAGAGACATTAGATAGATCGGTAGATAAGAATTTGTCTTCTTTCCTACCGACTCTTTTGTATTTTAAGATTAAATATTTTAGCTAATTCTGTATCCCATGCAAGTACTTGTTGTCTTACTGGATCATATTTACCAGCAATAAAATAATGATAGAAATTACAATCGGTTTTATCACGATCATCATCAACATCATCGTCATCATCATTGTCGTCTGAATTAATTTCATCATTTTTTTCCATTAAAGAATATTTGTTATTGGGATTTGTTGTTGCTGTTGTTGTTGATGTGGATGTGGATGACGATGGTTCACAAAGTCCAGGATTAATCTATTTTATAGTACAAACAGAAACAAAAGTTAATACAAATAGTATTCTATCTAAAGTTTTATAATTTTACATAAGTCACCTGTAAATAGATAGATAGATTTTAACAAATTATTCAATCTCCGAAATATACACGATTCAAATGATAAGTCGGGATTTTGTCTAGTTATCTAGAAAATTATGGATGGAAATCGAGCAGATATTTAAAAGGAGTCAATTAAGAAATAAATCTTGCAGTAATCCGAAAATCTCATGTCGTCGATTTTTAGTGTATATATATATATATATATCATAGATTGGTTGGGATGAAAGTTTATGCATGTCTGTTGTCCAGCTGTGCTAACATGGATAATATATATTCACACAATCATAGTCAAATAGTATGAACGTTATTGGTTTTATCTGTTGCAAACCAAGATACTGAAATACTGAAGGGTATTTACAACGTTACAGCATATTTAGTCATTTGCTGAAACTAATCATATATTTAGTTCGATTGTGTCCTTGAGTCTTTAGAGATAGTTGCGAAATCGTTAATTTATAAATCTTACTATTAACACTAAATTGCTATTTAAGAAGAGTTTAAATCAATTTTTGAAGCTCACCTGTCCGTTGTCGTTTCTAGACGTAGGTCTTTCCACATTTATGTCTAATTGTGTTTTGTTTGACTTTAAAGTATCTTGTCCTTTAGGTTTATCATAATATCCTTGTATAAATTGACTATATGATTTAGCTACTTTGATACGTCGCTTGATACATTTGGCTTCGTTCTCATCTTTATGTTCCGTTGTAAATAGGGCACCTTTAATATCTTGAACTAATTGCCCATCTTTTCCAGCTTCAAGAGGTTGATAGTACCTATGATGAAAAAAATGTCATGGAAGAATGACACTATTAATTCCAAGTATATATGGTGACAAAACTTTAGTTCTAAGAATAGTGTATACATTTATCCTAAAGGGAAATTGGTCTGTCAGTGGTATCGCCACCTACACATCAATATCATTATGAACATAACCACCCATAGACAATTTCATTTTGAATTTCTTGTAAAATGTAATAGCGAATATTTCTAGCCTATTGACAGTTACTTATAAAGAAAGACTAATGCTCAACAGTTCAGTCTTACTGTTCTCATAATTGATATTATATCATCGTTCAATGAATCATCATATTTTGTTTTACATAATCTAGCGATTTATTCGTGTAATTATTAGTCTCTTAAGAGAATCACGATTATACACTCATCAGCTACACTTCATACCATCCAGGATGAAGTTATAAACGAAAAAAAGTTATGCACTAAATGTTTTGAATAATATTCAATTGAAAATGTTTTGAACAGGATATACTAAGCCAGTTATCACTTATCTTCCAAAATAACCGGAAGAGTCCCATATTTGGACGATATGGCCGTCTAGTGCTTCCAGGTTTCTAATGGTGGTCTAACATTGACTGATTCGTAATTCCAAGGACAAAGATTAGCTCATTACTATGTAGAGGGTTTTTGCAGACTGTTGAGTTTTGTAGTCGATACCACGAACTGATTTTAGTTAACTGCCAGGAAATAGGGAACATCAGTGCGCATCCACAAGGCCGATGGGGATTAAACGCGGGGCTTTCATGTCAGGCGGCGAGTTCCGATGATTTATATGCTTGATTTCCAGCCGATTCATGACACTGCTGAAGCATCCTTCAGCGTTATTAGAAGGTATCTCGACACATATCTTAACTCCTTTCGTCCCGGCTTTTTAATAGAACTATGAGAACTAATTCTGGAAACCAATCAGTTTAATATAAAGGAACCTTTTGACATGGACTGATATCAGTTAGGGAACATTTGATGGCTAGGGAACACTTCGTAGCTGATTAAGTACAATTCGGATCTACTTATTTAACAGTTCGCTTGATGGATGTAATCGATGATTAAAGATGCTGGATGACATAGCTAAAAAAACATTCAGTTCTTATCTTACTCTAAATTCTGAGTTCCAGTAATACTTCATATATACTCTTTCATTGCCTTTTCCAGCTATATTCTTGAGCCACACCTTATAAATTGCATCTTAACGTTCTGATGTGCAGCTAACTCACATTTATGCCATTCCCTACGTTCAGTATGATGTAATTGATTGAATTAACAGTTCAAAGATAGTGGATTCATTACGATATTCCTAGGTCCTAGATCCTAACCTTGATGTGCTCGCCTTCACTTTTCTCTAGTTGAAGTGGTTAGTCCATGAAGAAAATTAACATAATCAGAATAGAAGTTCGATGCCTATTAGTTTTTAACACAAAAATATAAAGATATGGATCTCATTAATCATAAGATCAAAAGTTATTATTTTTCACTGTTCAAAGTTACAGAAAAATAAATATATTGATTACCATGCAGCAACAACAAGTAGTGAATTCTTTCTATGTTCCCAACGTATTTCTCGAACTTCACCAAGATAAATTTCATTTCGTCCAGAGCCAAATTGTACACAATCGCCAACTTTAACAATTAAACCATCTACATCACGTATTATCGAACGACAATATGTGCAGCCTTGTTTTCGACGTTTAAACTGTTATTTTTTTTTCGAAAAAAAATATTATGAAAGTCAATATGTAGAGCAAAGAAAAGTGAAACATGCATTCTCAATTAGTCATTTTTATCTATTCGGTTTTTGGAAAAAATGGCAACAAATGTTGAGACATTATATCGATACATATATTAATCTGATATGTCAAAGGTTGACTGTTTTCCGAGACATACGGTTGGGTCCCTGCTATTTCTGAACGTAGTTTAATTGAAATAAATAAGTTGTGGTTATCCACAAATGAGTAATGCAGTTCAACATGCCGGATGAAAATACAAATAATGTTAGAAGAAGGATGGGAAATAAAACCATTATTATGTAGTTTAATTTACTCATATAACCAGAGGTATTATGAGAACTTTTTCAATGAGTTGATTTTAAAGCATAAACCATCATCGTATTTGTATGTATGAATCAGTTTGGAATGCTTTAATTTCACAAAAAACTTGGAACAATTCTCAGTGATACGTCATTTCATTAAGTTCAAACTTTTAGGATACAGTTACTGTGTGTGTATGTATATCGATGCAAAGAATCGGAAATATTGACTGTACTCGATTTAGGTAGTAAAAATTTAAACAGTTACATTCATGTTTTTGGAATGATTTAGATCGGCCCATTGTTAATATTTTTCACTGAAATTTGATTAGTCTTAGTTAGCATTTGGGCGTTGTAGGCAGATTACTTCGATATAGAGCCATTATGACACAAGTTTATATAGAATAGATAGAATCTGACTAGAGTGTGATCATCATCATCTGAGATGTAAAGTATATCAAGCTAACAAGTCTCAGGTGGAACGAAAACAGCGTCCTGGATTCCAATGCTAGTCACATTATATCTCTTCTATATAAAGTTGCATTTATCAGGACAGTTAAGGAAAAAATCATAAACGACATTGGATCAAGAAACAAATCAAAAGAGGGATACAATCAAAACAAACGTACAAACAACAACAGGTTTAAAGTCAACAGCAACCAATCAAGATCGAGATCAACAGAACAGGCTAATGAGTTAAACGCCGAGAAATTCGAATACTTCACTTCGATCTGAAGTTTGTCCTGATGATGTTGTTCAGAAGAACAGTGATGAAAGCTCCACAACCAAAACATCCAGTTCAGAGAATGAAACACTACCACAAGATAATTACTATCAGATTTTCTAAATAACTTAAGATAACTTTCAGATAACAGTTGTTCACCAAATATAAATTTGCATACTGTATTTATTTACTTGATACAAACTTTCTGAGAATAAAATGAACTATTGTCTCATTCATCCAACTAATTGGTAAATAAGTCTTCATATCTGTTGTATTAAGTCTGAAGGGTGACTGAATAGATTTTAGACGGGAGACAAACTTTTAATCAGTATTTACTTTTAGTGATAGGGCATCAATTACGAAGTAACATAAATTTAGGATCATTAACTCAAATTTTATTTCCAGTCATCAAACTTCTTTTTAGCTTTGTGCTATTAATAATTTCACATAATTATTGAGTGAAGATATTCCCTGAATTGACTACATCGCTAATTACGACTGAACTGATGATGACTTAACCGAATCGATGTGACAAACTATGTAAGAAAGGACAAAAGTCCTCTTGTGACAATCACAAAGAAATCAGTTTAACTAATATGGTTTCTAAATTGTTAGCCTCGATTATACTTAGACGCCTAACTAGTGCTCGTGAAGAGCAGGCTAGAGAAAACCAGTCTGGTTTTCGACCTGGACGTGGTTGTATAGACCACATATTCACCCTACGACAGGTCCTGGAACACAGGCATACATATAGGCGTCCTACAATAGTTGTCTTCCTGAACCTTAAGGCGGCATTCGACTCTGTTGATCGTGAGGTTCTGTGGCAGTGTTTGTCATTGAAAGATGTACCAAAGAAGTACATTAACCTCATACAAGCTCTCTCCTTGAACACCACTGGTCAAGTGAGAGCTTATGGCGAGCTGTCACCGGAATTCTTTACTTCAAGTGGTCTCAGTCAGGGCTGCCTACTCTCTCCATTCTTGTTTAATTTTATCATAGACATGCTCTTAGAATTAACCTTATCCTCGTCTGAATTTTCAGGAGTAGACCTTTTACCAGGAGGCTTGCTTATCGACTTAGAATATGCCGATGACATAGTCCTACTTGGTGAAGACGCTGACAAAATGCAGAGTCTTCTGACCACCCTAGGCAACAATGCAAGCATGGTCGGGATGCGGTTCTCACCCTCGAAATGCAAAATGTTGCTTCAAGATTGAGTTGCATCGGCACCTGAACTAGTGATAGGGAGTGAAGTAGTCGAACGTGTAGACCGCTTCACTTATCTTGGGAGTCTCATCAGTGCTGATGGCCTGGTGTATGACGAAGTCTCAGCACGGATACAGAAGGTTCGATTGCCTTTTGCCAACTTGCGTCACCGGCGTAGGCGAGAGAGCCGTTTGCTAACTAAATTACGAGTCTTTCCTACTCTATGTCTGTGAAACATGGCCAGTGAGAGTAGAAGATATTCGTAGGTTACTGGATTTCAATCATAGTTGTCTCCGAAGCATTGCTCGTGTGTAATGGGACAACCGAGTAAGCAGTGCTGTTGTTAGGAAACGAGTCCTAGGTAAAGATGGCAGATCAATAGATGAAATAGTGAAATTTCATCATTTGAGGTGGTTGGGACATGTGTTGCCTGTGCCTAACCATAGACTGCCTCGTCGAGCTTTGTTTTCTGGTGTAGGAGTAGGTTGGAAGAAAGTTAGGGGCGGCCAAACCAAAACATGGCACAAATCCATGAAGTCATCGACATGTGGACTGAGTCATGTCGATAATTGTCGACTATCTGGTTGAGGTCCACGAGATGATAATAGTCGATGGTTAGAGACCCTGAATGACATGGCTCAGAACCGTTTGCAATGGCGCAGGTGCATTCATTCCTTGTGTTCTCTCAAATCCTAATCTTCTGAATTCCTCATCACTTTATCTTTTTCTTTTTAAGTTTCCTTCAGTGATTGATAAACTATATTATCATTGAATATTCGTTTTGTTGTGAAACATGTACATGATAATATATTGTTTGAATTTAACTAATTAATAGCAGTGAGGAATAGGTGGATGTAATTCTATGGTCACTTACGAATTTATTAATATGCCATTAGAAACATCCGTTAAAATAATACGCCCCACACACTTCAATCATCGATGAAGTTTCATAACTTTATCAGAAAATTCATCATCAAGATAAATTTTCAACCTTGGGAAGAACGCTTGCTTAAATAGAGATGAGAGACTATATTATTCAAAGTTGAGATAAAACATGGCGATCAGCCTAAACTAATCTTTCTGAAACTGTCTAGGGTTATTTATGAGATATAGGTATGTAGGTTGATCATAAGGAGGAATTCAGATATCAACCAATAGTACTTAAGATACCGTAAGTCTCTTCAAGGTTACAGATAAATACTATTACAACGTTTTACCAATCGATTCTATAAATAATATACTAGTTTCTTTTAGATGGACTATAACTCAATCGAAGTAACACTTCAATTAGCTGAAATCGGTCTTTATACACTTGTAAAGTCGTTCATGATTTGTGCTAACAAAATCAAATCATGCTGCATCCAATCTAGAGTACAACAAAATTACGAATCTTTAAAAACAGCACATAAATTTTAATTTTGTTATTCATTAAAATAAAAAGTAAAAAAAGCCATAGAAAATTGTTCAAATAAATAATTGAATCCGTACCAGAATATTAGAGCAAATTAGCAGAAGACCAGGCTAAAGAATTATAAACTGTGACTTGACAGCCTTTAAACTGTCATTCTAATCATTTCATCGAACACTGCCATAGATCTCTGGTTTTATACTTGGTATTTATGCTTGTAATTCTGTAGGAGTCATCGTTCTTCTGAGACAATCTATCTATTGGACGCTGAACCTAAGCCGGTGGAAAGAAGTTCGAACTAGGGACGTATCCACGGAAAGTCTAGTAATTTAAATAATTAATCTAAATCGACTCAACCTATGTGAACTACATTTAAACAAGCACATTCCAGTGTTAGATTACCAAATCAGTTGATTACTTAAAATTATTCATAAAAATGTTAATCCATGTATATATGTTAGGATATTCATCAAGTATCCTAAAGAAATTATTATTGGTCAATACTTAAGGTCGTCCCAACGATCAAGTTCAAATACTTTAAATGTTGTTTCCTGTTGGTTAGTATTCACGGTAAACCTAACTGCATAAACATGAATTTCCTTCAAGTTTTAATGAGCCTTCTTCTTTTTCTGTACAAACCTCATATTTTATGGGTGCTTGTAGAATACACTTTCTACGCCGTACCAAGACTCCTTCTTCTTCTAGTTAGTGGAGGCTTGGGACACTCGGATTAGAGTAGCCTATAGTGTCACTGAATCATTTATCTTCGCTCTCATCTATCGACTAAGGTGAATTCTTATAAGTTCAAGCATATCAATTGACGAACATAACAATATATAAAAATGACTTGAAAATTCTATACATGATATTTAATTTTTCTTTTTTTAAGAAATTCTACTTTACCTTTTCATATACTTGCCAAGATAAACATTCATTTGAACTATCTGTTGTTGTAATTGTACTGGAAACAGAAACATTATCCACATTAAATTCTTCTGACAGTTGATGATGATGATCATCATCGTTTAAGGAAATCTCTTTTTCTGATTTATTTTCATCATTACTATTATTATTATTATTACATTCACTATTGTATTTATCAATTGAAAAATCATTTGAACTACCAATTGTTATAGGTGTTTGTAATGATAATGGCGGTGAAGGTGATCTTAATGACATAATTGATGTAGTACCACTGGTTGATGATGTATGCGTAGGTGATGTCAGTGAATTGATAGTGCATTCTATAGTTTTATTTGAACTTGATGATGATAATTGTGAATCTTTTCTACTTCGATTACTTTCATGAGAATGAGTTGATTTATTGGAATTCTTTTCAGAAAATGATGAATACTTTGAATTGAATGTAAAATTTTTGATCATTTCCGGTGAACATAAATGAATGAATGGAGATGCTAAAAAAAAATAAAATAAATCGATAATCAAAATAAATTTAACAAAATAATACGAAACTACTTTTTTGAGTAGTATAAAGTTAGTCCTAAAAATTTCAAACGAAAAGTAGTTCACTAAACATTCTCAAGGACTGTATTTTTTCTGATAAAAAAACACTTGAAATGTCATAAAAATATCATTGCATAAAATCAAAGATTGTATTTATAGGTAACTTGAGGTTGATATTTCACTGATAAATAGATAATTCACAGTTGTAGCAGTTTAATTAATTTACGACCGTTGCTGCTACCTTGACGTGGTGGTCGGGCTCGCCTATCGTGATGACCCAACCGAGCTATATTGTCTGGAACATATGTTACTGCAGGTCCTACCATGCCAGGCAAGTCAATTGGAGAACGATGAGACTAAAACCATCTACTCAAGGTCTGAGATCAAAGTCGTGCTGCTGACTGTTGAGGGGTGTGACAGCAGTAAGGTGTTTCCCTCAAACAACCAGCAGCTGCAGCGATGCTGCCTTCTCACAAGGAAGGAAGGGTTAGAAAAGGTCGGCCCTAAAAATGTCACACCTCACCCTACCTCACGGATTTCCGTCTCCTTGGGTAAGGGTGCCCACTAAGGTCTTTTAAGAGCGGAGCTAATACTCAAAAATCCTTTCATAAAAAGGCCGTGCGTGACCGGCCTGAAGCAGCTGTCCCTTGGGCTCTGCGGTCACACTCCCAGGTCTCCAAGACCAACACTAATCTACCTTCCTTTTCAGGTCCCCCAAGAAACACCCTCCCACGGTGCGGGCAGCCGGAAAGTGACAACCGCCCTCATACCCATAACAGCACACGAGACCAAATTGGTCAAAATCAAATCCTTCCTACACCCACACATACCTCTCTTCTCTCCACAACTAAGTCTACTCACATTAATTAATTTACACAATTTGTCCTATAAGGCTATTAGTTGTGAACATAACTAAACTAATCACTAATCACCATGACTAAACATTAATTAATCGAATTTCATCTTATATTCATGGTTTTCTTATTTCTGCCAATAATCGAAGAAAAACTTCAATTTAATTGTCAGTATGAGTACTAGGCTTTTGACGGTTAGAATGTTGTCCATCATGAATTTTCTCACTGATGAACAATGATATTTGATGCTGTGCATGAACATTCATCAATCATAGTCCACAAGTTTATGACTTACAATTCTGTTTTGAAGTTTAATTGCTCATTTTAGTCACTAGATTTAATCTTATGTGATTTCTTTGAGCTATCGAAATATAAAATGGTTATAATATAAAGGAGGAGGGCATTAGGATAATGCAAAGATGATAGGGCAGTTAGTCATAATCAACATGGCACCTCGCATAAGTATGAATTAGCCTGAGTTATTATACCACATTACGACAAACAGATAAGATTAACACGATGAATAGCAAAAGAGTCGACATAATGTAACTCAATGTCTCTAACTACTGACAGTGGTTATTACGTGAACTCCAACGAGGTGGTTTAGATCTACCATCCTGGCCTTCATCAACAGTTAAAAGTCTTATAGAGTAGTGGACGTTTTGGTTCGGCCGTCATTAGTTCCCTTTCAACTTACACTAGCTGACATTTCTTGTCAAGGTATTCAGCAGTCAGATATAAATACGTGTCACATGTCCCAAAGATGAGGCAATTGAAAAAGCTTTACATTTAAGAACTTTCTGAATAATAGGCAATGAAAAGAAGTGTATTACCACAAATGGAAGAACTTTCAAGTGGGGACTAAAATGACTACTTAAATAAAATACTATCTGAATAACCTTCACTTATTCATTGAACTGATTAATAATATACTGCATTCAAATAGAGAGATAGTGGCTAGTAAAGAAAGCCAAAACTTAACTTTCATCCTATTAAGAACTTTCCAGCTCAATGAATAAACTTGTATTCTAGCAGTGGTGTTCATATTGAGACTCGAACACACCACCATTTATGTATATTTGTATACATAAAAGATCTGTAAAGAGATAGCAAACTTAGCAGAAATATCATTATCTCTATTCTACGTATCAACTGTTACTACATCACTTGTCAATCAGTTTAACAGTATGTTAAGGATGATATCTTAATGACTAAAGAATTCCTACTTATTGAAACCATGAAAAGATTATTGTTTCGACTAGTATTAGAAACCTGGAAGCACTAGATGGCTGTTTCGTCCTAGTATGAGACTCATCATTGGCAGTGCGCATCCACAACTCCCACTGATCACAGGATTCAAACCGAGGACCCTCAGTCTCGCACGTGAACGCTTAATATGTAGACCACTGAGCCGGCATCCGATGTCCCATACTAGGACGAAACGACCATTCAATGCTTCCACGGTAACTAATACTGTTCGAAAGAATGATCAATGAGAAACAACAATCTTCATAACTCTCTAATGAATATTCCTACTTACTTCACTTGGCAAGTGTTATATATGATAGAGAGTAATAATAATAATAATAATAATAATAATAATAATAAAACCTAACCATATAAATGTAATAATCACATTAGTTCCTTTTCAACTTACTTCTACACTAGCTGACATTTTTTGTCAAGGTACTCTATCGTCAGACATAAATACGTGTCACATGTCCCAAAGATGAGACAATTGAAAAAGCTTTACATTTAAGAACTTTCTGAATAATAGGCAGTGAAAAGAAATGTATTACCTCAAATGGAAGAACTTTCAAGTGGGGACTAAAATTACTACTTAAAGGAAATACTATCTGAATAACTTCATTTCACTTATTCATTGCACTGATTAATAATATACTACATTCAAATAGAGATAGTGGCTAGTAATGAAAGCCAAAACTTAACTTTCATCCGATTAAGAACTTTTCAGCTCAATGAATAAACTTGTATTCTAGCAGTGGTGTTCATATTGAGACTCGAACACACCACCCTTTATGTATATTTGTATGTATACATAAAATATCTGTACAGAGACAGTAAACTTAGCAGAAATATTTGAATAATACAAAGCGATATGCATAGTTTTACACTGAGATTTCCTCACTAATGTAACCTCATCATTATCTCTATTCTATGTAATAACTGTTACTACATCACTTGTAAATCAATTCAACAATATGTTAAGGATGATATCTTAATGACTAAAGAATTCCTACTTATTGAAACCATGAAAAGATTATTGTTTCGACTAGTATTAGAAATCCTGGAAGCACTGGATGGCTGTTTCGTCCTAGTATGAGACTCATCATTGGCAGTGCGCATCCACAACTCCCACTGATCACAGGATTCAAACCGAGGACCCTCAGTCTCGCACGTGAACGCTTAATATGTAGACCACTAAGCCGGCATCCGATGTCCCATACTAGGACGAAACGACCATTCAATGCTTCCACGGTATCTAATACTGTTCGAAACAATGATCAATGAGAAACAACAATCTTCATAACTCTCTAATGAATATTCCTACTTACTTCACTTGGCAAGTGTTATATATGATAGAGAGTAGTAGTAATAATAATAATAATAATAATAATAATAATAATCACATTAGTAAATTTCTTAACAATCTTCAATAATCAATATTGTAACATTCAACTTACTTGACTGAGACCATGAATGATGATGATGATATGATCTAGGCGTATTATGATCCAGATCACTATGACGACGTGTACGTGAGACAAATTTTTCAGTTTGTTTCCCATGATTATTATTATTGTTACTATTACTATTATCATTATTATTATTATTGTCATGATGTGGTGATAAATAATTTGAAGAGATAAAACAAGGAATTAAAGAATTGATATTATTTTCACCAGTAATATTAATTAATTCACATAAATTTGTAAAATAATCCGGTAATATACGTAGATCAGTTAATGGAACTTGCCGATGATCTCCATCGTCGAAATCAACTGGAACAACACAATCATTATTATTGATATGTTGTTGGTGTTGTTGTTGTTCTTTTGGATCAACTAGAAATAAGAAATATTTTTTTCGATTAATTTTGAAATGGACAACTAGTTACATTGAAATCATGAGTGAATTATTGTTAGACCATTATAAGAAAACTTGAAAGAACTGGATGGTCGTTTCATCTTAGCGCATGCGACTCATCAGTGGCAGTGCGCATTCACGACTCTGGCTACTCACAAGGTTCGAACCGGGGACCGTCAGTCCCGCATGCGAACTCTTTAACCTCCGGACCATTGAGTCGGCGTCCGACAGTGTTAATGTCTAACTCTGATCAATCTAGGGATTTCGCATAACCTCACCCATTTGTCTACGGTAGTTACTGACTACACCTGAGGTGGGATTGAACTCCACTGGTCATGTTTTTTCACTAAGACTCAGAGGATTTCCTCTCAAAGCTGGTTACCAGTGAGCACATGAACAAGTGAATTTATGGGTATGAGGCCGGATGTCACTTCCACTGACAAGTGGACTCAGTTATGTTGGTAGATGTAAGCTACCTGGTCGGGGTCGGAGACCTTGGATGACATGGTTCGAAACCGTTAGCAATGGCGCAGGTGCGATCACTCATTGTGTTTTCTCAATTTCTAACCTTCTGAATTCTTCATCACCTCTATCTTTCTCTTTCTAAAGCTATCTCTTTGAATTATACTTCTTGAATAATATTTTGAAACACTAATCTTCTCTATTACTGCTAATAACTTCTACTATCTCTACCATTATGGGATTTGAACTGACGATTGCGTTTCTGTGCTAATGTGGTATGGCAACCTGAAGTTATGTAATCATGTACGAAATTCTACGTTGTAACTGACTGACATTAATAAGTCAGTCAGTCAGTTGCAACGTAGAACTTCGTACGTAAGTACATCAGTTCATGTCGCCATACCACATCAGCACAGAGATATAATTGTCAATTCAAATCCCATAGTAGAAGAGGTAGTAAAGGTATTAGAAGTAATCGGAGAGGTTAGAATTAGAAGATATTATTCACGAAGTATGATTCAATGAGATAAGTTTAGAAAGTAAAAACTTGAGGTGTTGAAGAACCCAGAAGATTAGGATTTGAGAGAACACAAAGAATAAATGCACTGGCGCCATTGCGAACGATTTTGAGCCATGTCATTCAAGGTCTCTAGCCATCGATTATTATCATCTCGAGGTTAATGTACTTATTTGGTATACCTTTTAATGACAGACACTGCCACAGAACCTCACGATCCACTGAGTCAAATGCCGCCTTAAGGTCTAGGAAAACAACTATTGTAGGACGCCTAAATGTGTGTCTGTGTTCCAGGACCTGTCGTAGTGTGAAGACTTGGTCCATACAGCCACGTCCAGGTCGAAAACCAGATTGGTTTTCTCGAGTTTGCTCTTCACGAGCTTTCGTTAAGCGTCGAAGTATTACTGAGGCCAATATTTTAGATACTATATTAGTTAGACTTATTCCTCTGTGATTGTCACAAGAAGACTTCTGTCCTTTCTTATAGATTGGGACAATCAGTGATTGAGACCAGTCGGATGGGATTGTGTACAGTTCCCATATTCTGCCTAAGATCTCAGTCAGCCTAGTTGATAAAACTGGACCACCATCCCTAAATATCTCAGGGGTCAGTCTATCAGGACCTGCAGCTCGTCCTCGCTTCAGATTTCCTAACGCTTTTTCAACTTCATTAAGACTAGGGGGACTTACGTCGATTTGCCATTCAGGATGACTGGAGATCGTGGGTAACTGAAGAGTGGCTCGAGGCCAGTTGAACTGATCCCTAAAGTGTTCTGCCCATCGATCCAGTCTCCTGGATTGAGAATAAATAATAGTCCCGTCATTTTCTGAGATAGTCTCACTTACACTAGGATTCCTAATACCAGTTTCCTTGATAAGTCGGAAAAGTTGTCTACTGTTGCCGATCGCCGCTGCCTTTTCCATCGCTTTTGCTTTCGCCACCCACCACTGTTCGCGATCTTTACGTAGGCTTTTTATAAGTCTGCGCCTAAGTTGACTTCGTTCTTCATCATGTTCAGAGCCAGGTGGGATGAGTTTTCGGGCATCCATCAGATCGGTGGATGCTACTGAGACCCACGGTTTCATTCTAGCCTTATGGTCAACCTTACTAGCAGATATCACTGCTGTTTCCACAGCCTTTTTGATATCACTCCATCCTGCTTCTGGATGGGAATCGCTTAAATGGTCGTCTAACTGTCTTTCTAGTTGTTCCTGAAATATATTTTTCGCCTTATTATCATTAAGTAAAACCCTAAGAGGCTTTCTTACGGTGTCTTTCCTACGCCCAGTAAGCTTCAAACAGATACGCGCTCGCATTAGAGCATGATCTGAATCTAGACATGTGCCCCAGAACGAGCGACAGTCCTCTATCGAACCCCTCCATCGGTGGCTGATGGCGATGTGATCTAGTTGAGTCCAACGTTGAAACGACTTTGGAGGTCGCCAGGTCAACAGATGCTTTTCCTTATGCCTAAAGTTAGTGTTTGCTAAGAATAGGCGGTTGTCTGAGCATGCTTGCAACAGACGGTCACCATTGTCTGTTCTCTGAGCCGCGACACCATAACATCCACCTAGGTGTCTCTCCTGCTCACTTAGCCTACCTACTTGAGCATTAAAGTCACCAGCCATTATTACTATATCAGAGCGCCTAGCTTTTTGGAGGAGGTCCGAAAGCTTTCTGTAAAACTCATCCTTAACCTCGTCTGAACTGCATTCAGTGGTGGCATAGGCAGATACGATGAAGAGGCAACGGCGATCGTCCCTATCCTTTCCAGTCCTTACTGTCCCGTTTAGTCGGACAGCGCACAAGCGACTATCTATTGGGATCCAGTCAAGGAGAGATTGTTCTGCCCTACGACTCAATGCTATGCCTACGCCAGCAAGACCCCTGGAAGCAGCATCAGGGCTACCGGATACACGAAGAGTAAATCGAGCTGCTTTTTTATTTTGACATGGTGTGGCCAAGTGTATGACGTGACTCGGATCCTGTATGCGCGTTTCCGAGACGCAGGATACATCGATGGCACGAGATTCTAAAGTCCTAGCTAAGGAAGCCTGTTGCCCTATTTGACACAATGTCCGAACATTAAATGCTCCAACATGTAGTCTAGAGCGAGGTTTAAGGAGACCAGGAACGACGTTTCGTGAACTCGTATCGTCTGCATTATCTGTGCACTGTGATAAATGAATGTGAGAAGAGTTAGTCGTGGAGATAAGAGAGGTACTAGGGGGTGTAGGAAGGATTTGATTTTGACCAATTTGGTCTCGCGTGCTGTTATGGGTATGAGGTTATGGGTAAGACATTAATAAAGGAGTAGGGAAATCACATAACTTGAAACCTAATCAATATATATCATCAAATGGATAGTATAATCGAAAGATTGTTTTTTACCATCAATATATCAGATTAGAAGAATTATTCAAAAACTGAAACGTATTCAATAACTTCATTGTTCTTGTTACAGACTCTAAATCGATTTCTACCTACTGACAATTCCTATATCGGAATAATATTTGCCTAACTTTCTTACTTGGTTAATTTCATTACTAAATGATTGAAGTTTAACATTAAGAATAGTTCATTCATAATTACTGTAAGATATGAAGTTAGTTGATTTCTATTAGTATAGTTTCATCAAAAATGAATACTTCTTAGGAGTTCTTGATCAGAAAAAATAAACAACTAGATAATATCCTCCCCCCGCCGCCATTTCATTTTCAGTAGTTCTTAATTCATACGTACATGCACGTTCATTGATAAGCAAGGTAAATGTGAAGCCGCAGATTGCTAAATGGTGGCATTTATACAATTGAAGAACATCTGGAACCCAAAACAACTATCAACGAACAACAAAGTCACAATTTTCAATACAAATATCAAGACAGTTAGTTCTACTGTATGGTGCGGAAACCTGAAGAACCACAAAAGCCATCATCTGGGAGATTCAAGTATTCATTAACAGTTGTCTACGCAAAATACTTCGGATCCTTTGGTCAGATACCATCAGCAACAACCAACTGTAGGAGAGAACAAACTAAAATCCAGAAGATGAATAAATCAGGAAGAAGCGCTGGAAGTGGATAGGACACACATTTCGGAAATCACCGAACTGAGTCACAAGACAAACCCTCACTTGGAATCCTCAAGGCCAACAGAAATGAGGAAGACCAAGGAACATATTACGCCGAGAAATGGAGACATATATGAGAAGAATGAACAACGATTGGACAGAACTAGAAAGGAAGGTCGAGGATAGAGTAGACTGAAGAATGCTGGTCGGCAGCCTATGATGTACTAGGGGTAAAAGGTGCAAGTAAGTAAGTAAGTACGCACATTGCCGAGTGCATAGATAGATACGAAACCTATCACTACATAGTAATTTATTTAATAAGTAATCCACAAACATATGGAGTTATTTACAATTCAAAGACTAAATCTTTGTTTAAATAGCTGGATAACTTAAGCTTGAACTACTGATGGTATGTGAACTTATTCACTTTACTGTAGTTCACTCTACTTAAAATACCTGAAGCGAAATACGTACACAAGTGATTAGTGTATATTTTAACGTACGTATTTTCGGGTTTCTAAAAACCTAGGAGAAACAAACCATATCCTACCTAGTAGTCATCTGTTCAACAGTAAACCTCCGTAATTTTGAATGAAGACTATTTTTGCCACTGAATCATTGAAAACTTGAGAAGCATTGAGATAGCATTTTTTGTTGTTTCAATTACCAACTTAACAACTGAAGACAAAAAAATAGTCTTAAGACTATCGACATACTACGATGAATAACATGTTCTCATTAGGTGACTACTAAGAAGTAATTCAATAGTCTAACGTTTTTGAATTCAATAAATTTATGCTTATAGCATAAATTTCATTTCATGTGAAACTTTGCAAATTAGACCTGATATGCTCGTCAGTTGATATGCTTGGACTATTACAAGTTCACCTTAGTCGGTAGACAAGAGCGATGACAAATGATCTAGAAGCAAGATAGGCTACTCTAATCCAATCATCCCAAGCCCCAACTAAGTAGACGAAGGAATCTTGACGAGACATAGAAAGTGTATTCTACAAGCACCCAGAAAATATGAGGTTCAACAAGCATACAAATCGAGTTCATTTATACATGATAGAAACGTCCTTGGAAGAGTCACAAAAATAGCGTACTAAAATAATCCATCAACCAATCAATGACAGTCAAGGATTTTCCGAGTGGAAAATGTAAGCTCAAAGTCAACTGATCAGCCCTGACTCGGAAACATAAAATCCAAAACTAAGAACTTTATTAAATGAATTCTGGGAATCTAACGTCTCCAACAAAATCAAATTGACAGAATAAACTCTAGTTCACACAAAATATGTACTAAAAATGAATTTACATTTCTATTACTGTATAATTGAGAAAAGACTAGACAACAACCGCTACTAAACAACAATCAATAGACTTACTTTTTACAACAGTTCCTGGATAAAGATTAACACCCAGCTGTTCACTCCATGCAGCACAGACACGTGTTCCAGGCGGGACATGTCTTATCGAGGCAGGAAATACTTCTAAAACTGCTTGTTGTACCACTTGCCATCCATATAATAATAAATCCATTTGACGTCTTCTATTTTTAGTAAATTGTCTACAATTGTTATTATTGTTATTATTATTATTATTATTATCATGACTTGATGATGAAGATGATGATGGTAGACAAGTTGATGAAGAGGATGCAATTTGATTGTTGACATAATTAGAGGATGATGTAAATGAATTACGACTAGTAATACGTGAATTTGTTGTATTGACAAATTTCTCAGTATCTAATTGTATACGAAATACTTGATCTCGTAGATAATCATTATTAAGACTATTTCGATTGATGGATGAAGAACTGTCTGTAAATTTGGAAAAAAATTAAAATTTTTAAAATATATTTTAATCATAATAATAATATATTTAAAGTAACTAAAAAGAGATCCATTGAAGCAGTGAATAAAATAAAGGTTACTCTATTGGGAGAAAACTCCGCCTGGAGCCCGTCTGGGGCTACTGCCGGTCCGAAGCCTGGATAAGGAAGGAGGGTTGAGCATGGGGTTCGCGACCTCATCCCACAAAAAAACTAACTCGCTATTGAGAGAAAAAGATTTAGTGCCAAGTCGCTTAGATGAAAAGCATTTAGGATTTTTATCATAAATCATAAGTACACTTCTTTCCATATGAGATACCAGCAAATTTATGTAAAGAAAGAAGATGCTACACAACAAAATGAGCAAAATATTTAATTAATATTCTAATGAAAGATGAATCGATGATCAGTAGAAATCCCTATGAATAGCTTAGACTAACTAGATTCATTAATACCCAGGTATATTTGACCTGCTTAAAATGTATAATAAAGAAATACCTCTAAATCACTGCCAAGTGGACTGAGTCATGTTGGTAGATGTAGACTACCTGGTTGGGGTCCGCGAGACGAAAGTCACCAATGGTTAGAGACCTTGAACGACATGGCTCAAAATCGTTTGCAATGGCGCAGGTGCATCCACTCTTTGAGCTCTCTCAAATCCTAATCTTCTGGATTCGTCAGCACCTCTACCTTTGTCTTTCTAACCTTATCTCACCGAATTATACTTCTTGAATAATATCTTCAAACCCTAGTCATCTTTATTAACATTAATACCTCTACTATCTTTATCACTATGGTTTGACATTTGCGTCTCTGTGCCTATGTGGTATGGCAACATGAACTTATGTACATACGTACGAAGTTCTACGTTTCAACTGACTGACTGACTGATAAGTGATATGCTTGAATGCTATTACGAGTTCACCTTACTCAGTAAACGAGAGCGAAGACAAATGATGCAATGACACAATAGGCTATTCTAATCCGTTGTCCTCGGCCCGGCGAACGATATCAAGAAGTTTTGAAATAGCGTAGAAAAGTGTATTTTACAATCACACAGAAAATGCGAGGTTGACAAGCACACAAATCGAGTTTATTTATACATGATAGAAACGTCCTTGGGAGAGCCACAAAATCTGCGTACAAAAATAATACATCAACCAATGACAGTCAAGGATTTTCCGAGTGAGAAATGTAAGCTGAAGGTCAACTAAGCAACTTAAGCGCGAAAACATTAAAAATCCAAAATTGGGACTTTTTCCAAGTGAGTTGTGGGGATCTAACGTCCCCAACAATAAGATATGAACAACTCACTATATCATACCATTACTAGTTGAAATTCTACAACTAGTTAGTCAGAAATCAACTCAGTAGATACGATCATTAATGATTCGTTTGATTTCGTTAATTCACTATCAAGTGCCATCAATATATAACCGGAAAGATATGTTCATTAAGTATTGTATCAATTTTTTACAAATGTAGCTTTAAGAAAAGCAATGTGCCTGCTATATGATTACATTGAAAACAACAAACTCGTTATCGGTGTCACAATACACTATTTGAAAGAACTATTTCTTCGGCGTACTTTCAATATCCAATAGTGATGAAGTCACAAAAGACGGAATCTTAAAAAAAATCGCAGACATCCAACCCAGGACCTTCGGTCTCATGTGCGAACACTTAACCTCTGAACTATTGAGCAAGAATCCAACGGTGTCAATGTCTAACTCTAATCAATCTAGGGATTTCGCGCAACTTCACCCATTGTTCTCGGTAGATAACTATCTACATCCGACAAGGTTGAATTCCACTGGTCACGGTTTATATGACTTTTAACTACTTCATTAATTAATATCTAAAACATTTACCTTAGATTATATTAAAGAATCGCTTCTTTAAGAGCTTAATTAGCATTCTGATTCTAATAATAACTTGTACGATAAAAAAAAAATAACAGATTATTTGATTGAATTTGTAAATATTCATTGTATAAGATTTATCTTGCTAATGTGAACTATATATAATACATAAATTGCTTATTTCAAGAGTCTTGAATGTAAAGAAGAAGACTAACACTAAGAACACTTTGTATGCAAATTGACCTCAAAACTAATTGTCTTGCGTCATCAAGTTTAAGGAGAAATGAAATTAACTAATTTCACTAGCAAAATATCTCATGATCATGGAACAATAAAGTTCATCTTTGTTGTACCTAACACTATAAAATATAACAAAATGATACATATTACGGAATAAAAATACAAACTTATGATATATAAATAGTGTATGCATTGAACTGACCTTTTCTTAAATATAAAGTACCAGCACGTAGATATGTATCTTGTATCACTAAAACTCTTGTACCATCGGATAAATCAGCTAAATCTAATTCACTACGTCGAATATCTGGTGTCGGTGGTCGATTATTGATCCAACCACCTGAATGATCATCTCTATCATAACATGATTGTATCATGATTGAAGTAGATTTTTGTTGATGTTGTTGTTGTTGGTGGTGGTTGTGTTGACTTTTGAAATTATTTGATCCATTTTGAGGAAGTGTAATCGTTGATGAAGGTGATAAAGATGTAGACGATGAAAAATTTGGTGAACATGGAGGTGTTGGTTGAATTGGAGAATATGGTGATAATGCACTGGGTACGATAAATGAATTTACCTAAAAGTAAAAGGGGATAGTATGGTTTTTTATTCATTTATAGAATGAACGTTTAAAACTGACATTAGATTTGACTAAAAGTTCAAAAGAAAAAACGGATAATTATAACAACTCATTCGGAACTTAGATGATAAAGTCTAGATAGTTTTATGCATATTTCAGTAAGTATAGACACATAAATATGTATGCATCACACAAACTATTGAATTTGTGAGTGGAGTGGGATACTGGGCGGACACTCGAACCGAAACAGGTGGATTTCTTAGACGACCACGCCTAGAGTCTTGGAGTTAAAAGTCTGATCCACAAAACAATAGTTCAGGGACCTCAGGAGATGCAGTCCTATAGTAACTGTTCACGAATAACAGGATCACACACCATTTGTTCCGTCACGTTCGTGTAGTACATGTGTACTATTAGTTTGGAATCAAGGTTTTCCAACTCCTCTGCATGGATCTTCCGCACACACCAACTCAGTTAAAGCATCGGACATTCTCCTTTCATCCTCCTTGTTTCGTAAACAACAACTGTGCCACGGGAATACAGTGAGTAAGGCCACTCTGTGGCAGTGGCTATACACGCGTTAGCCATATGAAAGTAATTCGAGAGATACAGAGAGAGAGCGAATTCTTTCCACTTCCGGTCATCTAGTTTTATCGTTTTCTATAAAAGGGCAAACTAATCCTCAACACTGAAATGTATAAGTTAATAATGTAGGTATTTATTTGCAATGATACAGTAAGTAGTCTAAATCTTAATTAATCTATTATGAATTGAAAAGATTGGTAGAAATATTACTTACTGAATGGAAAATGTTTATAAAAGCATAAGCATAGATTGTGATGTTAACGTTCCAATTTTTAACAGATTTAACAAGATGCATCTATGCTATTGAATTCAAAGTTGTTTTCAATTGAAATAAACCATAGGATTGAACATTCTTTAAATGTATGATTGTTAAGGTAGTCTGGATCATGTTATATATGTTATAACATTGAATCATACCTATCTAATCTAATTTATCTATCTATCAGTAATATCGAAGAAAATAAATGAACAATTTCGTCGAAAATTTTAACTGACCAAAAACTAGGTTCGATACTAATATGAACATCAGAGATACGAATGAATTTACATCCAGATAACAATCCTTAAACTGAATCAAAACCCGTGTTCTACTTGTTAGACAAAATGGAGTTATTTTTTTTGAAATCGCTAACTAATCTTAGTTCGACCACCACAAAATCTTGGGAACAGTGGACTATTGTTATTACGCTTGAATATGGGAATCGTCAGTAATACACACCCGCGACTCCTGCACGCGCGTATCTAACTCAAGACGTTCCCATCTCAGACACAAACGCTTAACCTCTAGACCACCACCACTGGAGTAGGCATCCGATGGTGTTAATGTCTAACTTCGACATTCGATCGATGATCTTACTCACTTCATTCTAGGTTTATAATGGTAGTCTAACAGTTGATCAATTCAGAATTTCAAATAAAAAAAAATAACAATTTTCATATCTGTATAGGTAATAGTGTCCCCCCCAATTGAGTAACGTAATTATCTCTTCTTCAACAAATGAGTAAATAACCAAATTTAATTTAAAGCCAATCTAAATAATAATAATAATACTCTATTTCGTAAGAAATATAACAAATTACAGTTAGTTAAAAGAAATCAAAACAAGTTCGATTATGTTGACAATATAGTTAGTTTCAAGACAAATTGAACACATGAATGAATTATGTGATAATTGTATATGTTTCATGAGAAATATGATATTTATTTGATTTTTGGGGGGGGGGGGAAAGTATGAAAAAAAAACTAATTTGTACGTGTTAATCGCACTTCGATTTGAATAGATTAGTAAATAATTCAAGTTGACTAGACAGATAGATATAATAAATAAATAATTAACTGTTCATTTTCACTACGTGTCATTGAGTTGTACACTTCTGTTCACAACATCAATATCACCGAGATGTACACAAATAAATACACATCATACAGGATGTTTGTAATTCGACTTGTGACTAATATATTATCTATCAACGCAATGAGACTTGTTTTAATTTTTACGGAATAATAAAAAACACTATGATTTGTTACTTATTTTTTGTTTTAAAAATTTCTTATTTAGACTTGTATTCATTTTAGTTTGATGATTTATTGATGATTTTCTCTGAAGTAGTAGTGATTTTATACTAACTAATATTTGAAATTGAATTTTCTATTTATTGAAGGTATTACGCGTAAACGTTGTTATCTTACTGATAATGATAATAATAATAATAATAATAATAATAATAATAATAATAATAATTTCTCATCTTCAAAGACGAAATGTTAGGGATGCGATTCTCCTCGTCGAAATGCAAAATGTTGCTTCAGCATTGGCTTGTATCGGCACCTGAACTAGTTATAGGAAGTGAAGCAGTTGAGCTCAACTACTTCAGAGAAAATCATCAATAAATCATCAGACTAAAATGAATACAAGTCTAAATAAGAAATTTTGAGCTTCACAGTTATCTCCGGAGTTTCATCAGTGCTGATGACCAGGTGACTGACGAAATCTCAGCACGGATACAAAGGGCTCGAATGGCTTTTGCCAACATGCGTCACTTATGGCGTAGGTGAGATATCCGTCTGCTAACCAAAGGACGAGTGTACTGTGCAGCAGTTCGATCCATCCTACTTTATAAGTGTGAAACATGGCCGGTTAGAATTGAGTATTTTTATAGATTATTAGTCTTCGATCATAGGTGTATCCGAAGCATTGCTCGCGTATCATGGGACGACCGAGTAAGCAATGCTGTCGTTAGGAAACGGATCCTAGGTAGGGATGGCAAAGCAATAGATGAAGTATTGAAACTTCATCAGTTGAGGTGGTCGGGATATGTGTTACGTATGCCCATCCACCAACTGCTTCGTCGAGCAATGTTTTGCGATGTAGGGATAGGTTGGAAGGAAACTAGGCGCGGCCAAACCAAAACATGGCAGAAGTTCATGAAGTCATTGACAAGTGGAATGAGTCTGTAGTGCTTCTACATATATTCCAGTTCGCTTACATCTAACTTGGTTAAGCCCTTTCGATTAATTTATTTAACCAAGCCATTTGTATAGCAACAACTCATATGTACCATTGGTATTTTTTATTATCTGGTTTGTATGAGCTTGTACGACTGAGCCTTGTTTACGCCTACGCGCTTACTCATCCTTTTCGCTTTAATGTTAATCGCTTAATTTCCCCATGAACTCACATGATTTGTATCGCTTGCTTTTGACCTTGTCAATCATTCGTCGCTTTTATTTATGTGTGTGCATACCTATTTCGGTTGTCATATGTCTGTCTTATTTATGCCTGACTATATATTCTTAGTCATGTTCTATCTCTTTGAGTTGGCTCTTAGCCTTCTCCAAATCGCTTCTCCGCTTCGCTTTGTAGTGTGTCCCGAATAAACGTATTCATCAATACGAGTTCATGTTCTGATTTATAAACCGAGCTTAAGAACACGCAGTAAATTGACACATCACAAGTCATGTTGGTAGATGAAGCCTACTTGGTTGGGGGCGGCGAGACGTAAGTCACCAATGATCAGAGACCTTGAATGACATGGCTCAAAATCGTTTGCAGTGCCTTAGGCGCATTCATTCTTTGTGTTCTTTCAAATTCTGATCTTCTGACCTCCTCATCACCTCTTTGTTTTTCTTTCTTAATCATAATACTTCTTGAAAAATATCTTCGGACACTAATCTTCTCCTGTACCGCTAATACCTTCTACTATCTCAAACATTATGGGATTTGAACTAACAATTGCGTTTTTGTGCTAATATGGTATGGGAACCTGAACTTACGTACGAAGTTCTACTGACTGACTTTACTCAGAGATAAAACACACATATACACACACAGACATTAACAAATAATTCACCTCTTTTTGATTTTCATCATCTTGAATATCAATTTGTAATTGTTTCAATTTATCATTATTTGTAATATTATTCATTACTGGTAATTTTGAATTCGACCATAATGTATCTGACAGTGACGTAGAAGGATTGATTGATGAATCGATAGTTAATACAGATGACGTTGATGATGATGAGGAGGAGAACAATGAGGTAAATGATAAAGAGGAAGGTGATAAAGATGATGACGATGATAATGATGAAGGTGTTGGGATATGTTTGTTTAATGCTTTCTTAAATGCTTCTGAATTATGCTCAATATTAATTGAATATTGATCAGATTGCTTTAATTTATCAACATGTACATCAATTGTAGATTGATCAAATGAAATATTGGGAGAAGAACAACACGACGAAGATGAATAACACAATCTAGGCGATGAAGTCACTGTTGTTAGTGTTCCAGTTGTTGTAGTTGCTGTTATCAATGAAAAAATAAATGGAAAATAGATTAACTATGGGGAAAACAACAACAGTAAAGGTGATAATAATAATAATAATCAAACTGATTTTTGAAATATTAATTTTGTAATGATTATTCAATTATTGTAAAATTATATTCTCATTTCACCGATTCATTGTTATCAGTTTATTTTGTTGTGAACAACAATATTCGTATTATGTTCGTCACTTAGTCGATAAACGCGAACGAGACAATTACCGGTGTCCATGTAGGCTACCTTGAATCCCCAGGCTGAAGTAAAAAGGGCTTTGCAAGCGTAGAAAGTATATTCTACAAACAACCAGCAATCACAATACAATCAAGCACACAACTCTCGTTTATTTATACATCATAGAAACGTCCTTGGGACAGTTAAGAAAATAGCACACTAAAATACACGGCAGCCATGGATTTTCCTGGTGGGAAATGAAATCTCAAGGTCAACTGATTAGCCCATGCTGGCAAACGTGAAACCAAAATAAGGCATTTATCAAGCGAGTTTTGGGGATCTAACATCCCCAACAATTCGTTATAGAGTTATGTGTTTACTAGAGACTAGCTTCGTGAGGAAATTCTCGGAGTTTTAGTGAGAAGCCGTGACTAGTGGAATCCAACCGTGTCGGGTTTAAGAAGTTACCTCTCGGAGACAATGCGTGAGATTGCTTAGCACAGTAGATTAACTAAAGTTAGACATTAATACCGTTTGATGTCGGCTCAACGGTCTACAAGTTAAACGTTTGCTCGTGGGACCGAAGGTCCAGGGTTAGATTTCTGCGAGAAAAGGTCATGTATGCACAATGAAAAAGATTAGGCTTCAAAGAAATTATTCGTAAAGTATAATCCAGTGAAATACAGTTAAGAAGAGAAAGATAAAGGTGATGAGGGATTAAGAAAATTACAGTTTGAGAGAAGACAAAGAATGGATGCACTTACGCCATTGTAAATGATTTTGAACTATGTCATTCAAAGTCCCTAACTATCGATTACCATTCGCTCGCGGAATCCAACCAGGTAGTCTAAATCTACTAACATGACTCAGTCCACTTGTCAGTGACCTCAAGGATTTGTACCATGTTTTCGTCTGGCCGCTTAGCCTACCCGTTCGCCACAAAACATAGCTCGCTGGTTCAGCATACGTAACGCACGTCCTAACCACCTCAACTAATGAAGTTTCACTACTTCATCTATTGATTACATGAAATATAAAGAATTTCGTTTTTTTAAAAAGTTAGCAAAAATAATCATTGGTCTATAACAAGAAAGTGAGAATATTTTTTTGTTTTTTTCAAGAATAGATTGATTGTATTTAGTTTTAGGTTATATGACGTATGTTTCATTCTATTCAGGGGTTTTCATCTGGTTCTACATGCGTCATAGTGTTAATGTTCGTATTAGGATTTGAACATAGTATCTTTCACTTCAAGCTGCCAATATGTTGTTCATTGAGTCTGTTAATGAAAATCAACATTGGAAAACAACTACAGTTAACTAATTAGACCAGAAAAGAGTGAGACACAAGTTCTATATCCTAGTACTAGACATAATTCAACCAAATAACTATATCAAAGCGATCCACACATGGTTCACATTTATACTTACAAAGATTGTTTTAAAATTCAATTCTTAATAACAACAATAAAACTACTTAAACTAATTGCTAACGATGAGTTAGGATATTAACACCGTTAGATGTCACCAACTCAAAGTAGTCCAGAGGTTAAGCGATCCAGCGTAAGGCCGAATCTCATGGGTACGAATGCTGCAAGTTGCAGGAATCATCGATGAGCACTACTGCTGAGTACTATACCAGGACGAAACGGCCGTCTAGTGTTTCCATGTTTCTAATGATGGTCTAGTAATGATTCATTCTTAATTTAAATGTAAAATAAGGATCTCCATAACACTCGAATGCTAAAATTAATTATTTATGTCTTACCTAATAAGCATTCAATAATATAACTATGTAAGTTGATAAAATATCTCTTTTAAATTATGATGAATAATCTCAAGTGTGTGTGATTCAATAATCTCATTAGTCCAATGATAGAATAGATGTCATAATTCATTAATTTAAGGATAGTATTCTCAATTGAAATCACTTAATAGGAAGATTCTTATTTTATGTATAAATAAAGTTTAGTTAAAACAAACAAAATTTAATAAAATATTGAAATGATTAATTAAACTAAACTACTAATTTGTTCGCATCAACCAGATAACATGTAAGGTAGTGAGTGGTGTTACCCATTGAAGACAATGGACTAACATTGTGCAATAATTAAAGATTGATTGAAATTAGACAGCAACACTGTTTACATACCGGATCAGTGTTCTAGCAGTTAAGTGTTCACGCGCAAGACGAAACGTCCTAGGTTCAATGCTCGTATGTGAGATCATGGATACACACTACTGACGAATCCCATACCAAAACGAAACATTCATTCAATGCTTCTAGATTTCTAGTAGTGGTCTTACATTGATCGATTAATAATTTTAATGAAACTAAACAATCTCAACAACTCTATGCTGATAATAAAATATTAATTGAGGTAGAATTTAAAATGCACAATCATTGTTTGAATCAATTTAATGCAATAAGTAAATACACTGTACAGTTGTTTTATCCTTGTATGAGATTCATCAACAGTGTGCACTCACAACTCCTGCTACTCGCAAGAATTGAACCCATGACGTTCAGTCTCACACACAAGTGCTTAACCTATGGACCATTAAGTCAGCATCCATCGATGTCTAACTCTGATCAATTTAAAGTTTTGCGCAAGCTCATCGATTATCTTCGGTATTTACTGCCTACATCAGACACGGCTGAACTCCACTGGTCATGACTTCTAACTAAAACTCAGAGAATTCCCTTACAAAGCTAGTCACCAGTGAGCACATTGTACGATTTTTCATTATAGACTGATGAAGATTGTTGTTTAATATTGAGATCATGAATCAATCATTCTGATGAGAAGATGTGACCAGCGGAGTTCAACCCTGTATTTTTTTAAAAAAAAACAATCTTCAATCATGATAATTGTAGTTTTAGATAAGTAAATAAAAATACTCAATATACCAGACAAAGTTATCTTATTTATGCTTCTTTAATGACTGAACGATTTAAAATAATTGATTTTATTTTGGTTACATTTTATTTTACATTGAAACCATGAATGAATGATTGTTGAGACCAGTATTAGATACCTGGAAGCAATGAACGGTCATTTCTTCCCCCTGATATGGGACTTTTCAGCGCTGACCATCCACGACTCTTGCATCACTTGCAAGATTCGAACTCAGGATGTTTTATTTGCTATTTTGTGAACACAGTGTATGAATGAGCTAAACAGAATGTTGTTTTTTTATTGGTGTATAAGTTGTAAGATAGTTTTACTGAATAAAAAACAGTCAACTTGAATAACAAAGTATTGGTTAAAAAAAGGTTAACTCATTACTGTTTTTGTTTAGAGTAAATAATCAATAAATGTATGTATCTATCTATCTATTAGCAGCATTAAACACCGTGTCTAAACACACATTCTCTTTGTGTGCATGTGTGTGTGTGTGTGGATGTGTGAGTATTGTGGTTTAAAAATGCACAAACATATCATACATACACACACACATACACACACACACAAATATATATACTCAATTAATTCTTAAAGAACTAACTAACAACTACCATACAATGTTCACATAAACTTTTCTATTTTCTTTATTATTTTATATGTGAAAAGATCAACTATCTTGGTAGACATGTTTAAAATGGTCAAATTGAAGGTCAGAAGTGATAGATAGATAGAACTTTTGTAGGTCATTGATGTGAATTTGAAAACAGGTTAGGGGTTAAATCTATGGATGTACACATATATATTGTTCCCATGTTAATCTTTCTAGTTTATATGTTGAATGAAAGAAAATAGTAAATTTTTAAAACATGAACTATTAGTTTATAGATTCGAAATCCATTAATTCATCCATTACGGTTTAAACAGTCGAATAATTTTCACTAATATGACTGAAAGGTGAGTATACTAATTTGTGTTTAGTCGATTGGATAGGAATCAAATGAGAAACATCTGTATATTGTAGGTTACATCATAAACTGATAGTAGTTTGATAATTAGTGAAAACTAGGAACATAATTAGTTTATTTGAGTATGGGATTTCATCAGCAGAAGACAACATTCATAACTTCAACTGTGAATTGAATCTACGATCTTCAGTTCTTTCACTGAGTGGCTTAACTGATAGATCATTAAACTGATATCTCATAATATACGTTTGTAGTATCAGTCAGTTGATGATATTACTCAATATTATAGGTGGGTTGTAGTGAACGAGAACACAGGTGGGGCAACCGAATTGTATTTAACGAAAATTACAGAGTTACTCAGTAAAATTGGAAAACCATATCGTAAATCGTTCATTTGCAAAATAACAGTTCATCATATAGAACTGGACTGTTGCTGTTGCAAAACATCAATCCATTGTTACTATTCATGCGTTTTATACAAATTCCATTGTTTTCTAACTCTTCCTTTCTTGATCTTCCCCCCATCTTCGGCTGCCAGACATTACGTTGACGCTCACGTCATATACTACTTATAAGTAGCTCGCACCACAGCACCACAGGGTAACTATTTCGTAATCTACCCCGTTGAACTTTCTACTGTCTACAACTTCATACTAGATGTCTGAGAATGACATCTAGAAATTAATTACTTAAAAAGCACATGCATATTACGTTAGGCAAATGGAATGATGAGAAGATTAAACACTTGAACAAATGGACTGTACTAGGAGAACTTGAAGTTATCTGGTGGTTTTCATTAAACAAAATTAATTTTCTTTCCTGCAACGGTAACTCCAGTAACATTATTTCTATTCCATACTTCTACTGATTGGTTGTTGACGCATTTAGCTTGTTAATTTTCCTATGTGCCAAGGTCATTTTGCTATTATATAGACTGGGTTGCTCTTTTTCGATTTTGCCATCATAATTTTCGGAATATAAAACTTTTTCTGCCCTTCTGTT